GCTCTGCCCGGCACCTGCGATCCAAAAGCAGCAGAACCCAGTGTGCTGTGCCCAATCTGCAGCCCTCAACGTGCTCTTTGATCTCATCCCTTCTTTCACACCCCTCAACACGTTCCTTCTTCCTCTCACCCCTTCTGAATACCTTAGGAGTTTGTAGCAGGGGCCTTGCGTGATAGCCTTGCAAAAAAGGCTGGATTTAAGCATGCACTTCCTCTGTCTTTTGACACCAGTGAGGAAGGAATGGCCTCAAAGAGCCCAGACATCTCCTGCAGCAGCTTCTGGTCTCAGACACCATGTTCATGCCAGGGAGGTGAAGTGGCTTACACTTACTTCCTTAGAAGAGGCCAGCCTAGCTGTGATGCTCAGGGCTCAGCCCTCCACACGGGCACAGAAGCTGCCATATGGGGTCAGACTGTGAGTCCCTCTCAGCGAGGAAGCCTAGAGAAGCTTGTCTCTTGCTTGCCTGGGCCACTGCCAGAGATGGGACACTGCACAGATGGACCTTCTGCCTCTGGGACACAGGGAATAATCAGGGCACAGGAGCTTCATGAACTGCATGTGCCTGTGCACCATCCACGAGCCACATGGCTTTGCTAAGTCCCATTTAGCACCGCAAGCAATTCATCCGTGTGTCCTGACACCTTCATTACTGCAGGCACATGCTGCTGCTGCGCTCATCGCTTCGGACATATATAGCATGCAGTGCTATTAAGCAGCACTCGCTAACGATCACTATTTTTGAAGAACGGAAATCGAGGAGGAGAGATCTGGAGCCTTGCCTACATCCACAAAAGGATTTGCTGTCTGAGACAGAATTAATACGTTGGTGTTCCCAGCCATCACTCTTGTTTTCAGACCACTGCCACAAGTAAAAGTATTCTAGTAATAGAATACCACAGGATTATAGAATAACCTGATACAAATAAAAACTAATTTAAATGAATAAATAAATAAATACACTTATTATTTTTTTTGTGATGACATCTTAAAAGAGTTCACTGAAACTTAAAAAGAAAAGCACCACTTAGTCAGCATGCTACTGGGGTTCATAATCTTAAATGAAAGGGGACCCCACAAATACTCACCTGGAAGCAGAATTACTAAATGTTTGCCATATAAGAAATATCAGCATGGTTTCTGATTCAATTTAAATATTGTGACACTGCAGCCCTTAAGAAAAACAATTCTGTTCTGTTTGTGCCGTTAACTGAAGTGCCCTGACAGCCTTCAGAAATTATGATAATCAGAGATCAACACATGCTTGATTTGCAGACACCATAAAGCACTCAAATTCTGGACTAATTAATAATTGACCATGAAACCACAGAATATAACCTCTTTATACCATGATACTGGAGCATTTTAGAATAACAATGTTTGTTTTGACTAAATATTGTAACATCACATGCTTACAATAGTGAAACTTAGGTCTTATATTGAAGTAACTATTTTACTCCATGGAAGGGTGAATTTTTATGCAATAAATGAAGACAAGTGTAAAAGATAAGAACAATTACTGTATGTTGTAGAGTATTTGTACGTGGTTTGCGTGATGAATGGCTTGTAGCCCCAATGCTTATAAGAAGTAGCATTAATGCAGAATTCGGAGTGCTCAATGATTTTCATAGTTCTTCATTTCTCCTGATAGTTCACATTTTATGTGGGAATGTTAGAACAACATTCACAGTTTGAGCAAATAATGTTGTTGTAGCATCATGTAAGTTTATGCATATTCCTTAATTTAAAGGTAATACTTATGTGCACTTAAGGAGAGGCTTAAAAAACAAACAGGCATACGTAGCCCAAACTGCCTCACTGTACGTACATCATCAAATGAAATATCTCACCAAACTTATTGGTGTGACCCATGTTCTTTTTTGTTTGTTTGTTTGTTTGAATCATCAGCTTTCTGACTTATTCGTGATGTAGGATGAAATGTCAAAATGTCCATGCTGGGCCTCTGGGAGTGCATCTGGCATGTTGTGGAAAAAGGGATATCCAGACTACAGATGAGAAGAGGTTGAGGAGGGGGAGACAGGCACCAGTGCGGGCTGTCTCAGACACACTCCTCAGATGGAGATGTCCCTGAGGAAAGCAGCTGACACAAGGCACAAGTATGTGACTACTGGACATCAAGCACACACAGAAGTTGGTGTTGTCACACTCTGTGCACGACAGCCAAGAGGCAGCAGAGCAGGCAGTGGTGTTCATTTACCTGCTTCGACAGCCAGCATTTTGCTGAAATCAGCAGAGAAAAGTGGGAGTGAAAACATTTCCAAAGCTGACAGCAGAAAGCTCAGAGGGCTGCACAGACTTGCTCAGGAGGGATTTCTTTAAAGGTAATTCAGAGGTTGTTACCTCGAGTGTTGACTCAGAGCTGCAGCAGATAAACTTGTCGTGGATGACAAGGCTCGTGCTCCAGGTTCCTGTGCCCCTCATGGAAGCTGCTCCCTCCAGATGGGGACTGACTGAACTACTTACTCCTCAGGTACCTCACTGCCCTTCACAATGCAGCACAGAAAAGCAAACCCGCACCCATTTCAGTTTGTCTTAAAGTGTCAGGCTGCAGCTGGCAAGTATCAGGACCTGTTTCTATACATGATGAGGGTGATGTTGTAAAGAGGAAGGTGGGGTGATTTTATGGGTTTTTCATTCCAGTTTAATTCACCAGTGCTCATGTGGCAACATGTTCATGTTATGATGTGCACTTTATGAAACAGGGAGAAACTGTACCAAAGAGCACATGGTGACTGGCAACCTCCAAAATCATAAAAATGCACAAGGAAAGTTCTGGTCCAAGAGGGAAAGGCATGAACATTAACTCCAGGTCATGGATGTCAACTTTGCAGGTACAGTCACAACCCACCGGTCTGATCTCCCACATACACAGGGCACAAAATTTCCTCCAGAAGCAAAACTAAAAAATTTCTTTCTAATCTCACAAAAATACAGTTGGCTTTTACTCTGAAGCTGCCTGTAATGTCCGCTTTACTCTTCCCCTCACGAGTTGTCCCAATTACTTTCCCTGCCAGGCAATAAAGGCTTAACTTAAGGTTGAATGTGTTTAGCTTCTAATTCGTGGACTTTATAACACCTTTGTTGGAAAGTTACATAAGGTCTTGTCAAAAACCTTTGTAAAGAAGTCTGTGAAGTTATGGAGCCGACTCTCAAACATATCTTTGATCAGCTGAATAAATAATACCCCATAAATTCAAGCTTATTCTTCACGCTTCCTCCAGTTCTCCTCAGAGCTTCTTTATCCTTCCTAAAATCCAGATCTCAGAACATGCTCATCATTATAGCCTCACTCCCCTTCTCTTACTTAAAGTTGTCCTTTTGTACATCTCAGCCTACAGTAACAGTTACTACAACCGTACTGTGCTAACACCATAAGCTGGGAACCATTTGTGTAGGTGCCCCGGGTGTCCTCCTTCCCTTGCACAGCATTGCATCATACCAACCAACAGGGCTGGTATTCCCATTTCCTAGGTGTGCTACACTCTATTCAGTTATACGAAAACACACCTCTTTTTGGATACCGACCAACAACAACAGGTTAATTTATACAGTCTGATTATTTGTTTACTGCCTCATTTATCCATAGAGTTTGAAAACTTCGTCAGCAAAGCTTTTAGATGATCATTCCATATTTGCTTTACCGTTAAGAAGAGAAAACTCAGTCTATTTATTTTGGCATTTCCCAGACTGTGAACACCTAATGTTGCAGCTTTGGCAGTTCTTGCGCCTGGCTGCTTCACAGTTTCTGTCCAAATGTATGAAATATAAACTGCAATGTCCACGCAAATCTTCTTTCAGCTTCCGATTCTGCCATAAAATCCTGGGAACTGCACAGGGCTCAAACAGCCTTTTCTTCTGCAAGGAGACTGATGCACAGCAGAGATAAAAATATTAGCTTTACATTGATTTCATGCAACTGAGGAGGCTTTAGAAAGTACAAAAGCCTATTTTAATAAATGGTGTGACTCATGCCTTAAAAATCGAGCCATTTTCATAACTGGCTCTTTCCCCAAATCCCTCCCACAACCTCAGTTCCCCGTGATTTTTAGGGCTGATTATCTGTGCACATCTCCAGCGTGGTGATTAGTGTTTTCTACCAGCCGAATGCTACAGATCCCCGCAGACCCCAGCTGATCTGCATGTCCCCAGAAACATGAAGCCATCATTCGCCGAGCCTGTGGTTATCTACGGCATGGCTGCTTTGTGTCAGGGAGCAGTGGGAAGGAGACAGAAGCTCCCTGAGGAGCCGATGAGCAGTTTTCCTGAAGACAGCAGAAGACAAGATCAAGTGTGTGCTTGTTTGTTTGGGTGAGTGTGTGCGTGTGCTGGGGTTAAGAGGTGAGGTTAGAAAAGCATTAGCAAAGTACACAGAATTCTCAGCGCTGCTGTCAGGTCTTTTCCTACTTGAAGACCCAGGCAGCACTGAACCCTTCCCAGCAGCACACAGCACATTTCCAAGCCCTTCAGTGTAAGACAGAGATCCCAGTTTATCCTTAAGTAGACTATATCTTCATACTGAGGTATTTTGCTCTGTTAAAATAGAGTTAAGCCCAGCCTGAAGCTGCGGGTCCCTTCTGGACCTTCCCCACTACTGGCTGCAGTGGTCTGCTCCTTCCCATAGCACGTCTCAGTTTTGACCTCTGAAGTGACAGGAATTTACCTCAAAAGAGTTGACATTGTACTGAAAACAAGCGGAGGGTGATGAGAAACATCATCAGTGCTATGTGAAGCCCTCAGACCAGCTGTGGGGAGGGACGGGGGCTGCTGGTTGCCCTGAGAGAGGGCATGGCTGGGCCACCAGGGCTCTGCCGCTCCTCCTGGCACGGCCTCAGCTCCAGCCCCGTGGCCTTTGCTCCCTCACTCCCCTCTCCTAAGCAGAACTGGTGTTTAGAAGGGAAGGAAATAAAAAAAAATAAAAACAACGCTGCAAAACAACAGTTCCTTAAAAAAAAAAAAAAGAACTTCTCTGTATGGATAGCACACAGCTTGCGCTGAGGAGATCAGCGCCTCGGGCTGTTTGCCAGCTTGGTTTCTGCCTCTTGCCAGAAAAGCAGTGGAAGTGCGCGGCCACTTTGGCTCGCGTGGGGCTTGGACGAGCCTGCGGACTTGGAGGAGAAGGTGAGCTGCTCGTCCTGCAGAGCTTCTTGCTTTCAGCATGTCCTCGCTCCCGCTCAGCACTGCCACCCCGGTCACACAGCACTTCTGCTCCTGCCCCACCGCTCCGGCTCTCCTGCCCTTCACCAGTGCACGTGCAGCCGAGGGAGAATAAATGACACTTTAATCTGCACTGGACAATGCTTTTCCCACTCCTCTCAAAGGCTTCCTGTTTTTCTAAAGCTAATCTGGCTTCTGCAAATGCATTTTCATAATGGCACCTATTCAGATTAGTTTCCTTTTACACATTGATGAATTCCACCTGCTTGGGGCTCTCTCCTGTCAAGGCAGAGGGACTACAATGCCCAGCGAGCAGAGAGCCTTCCACCTCTGCCTCCTTGCACCATATAAACATGACACTTGCATTTCCACCTTTTATGAATGCGTATGTGCTGCATAGACCGCAGATAAGCCCACCTGTGAATGCACTCACCCTGTGTTTTAAACTCTTGGCACTGCAGCTGTACTATTTGGGATTGTTTTCACATTTGGATTACGAGGAGTTCGCTGGGAGCAGACAATGGATCTAAGTTTGAACTGCTCCAGTTTCCACTGAGCTTCTTGTATAAAACTGTAAGGCAGATCCTGACACTGAAATACGAAATCCAGAGAGCTGTTCCAGCTCATCCCAGCAAAGGGCAAAGCCAGTCAGCATGTCCTACAAGTGACAGGTGTCCAGAAAAACACTGGGATAGAGAGAACCATGCCTCCTGAGCTATTGCAATGAAATGCAGTATATTCGTGTAGTGAAAAAACAGTCTAGACAACTTTTATTCTGCCTTCAAAGCATAAGGATTACAATACACAGGTGTCAAAAGTTCCTCGGGAAATGAAATACACCAAGTCTCCTGCTCCTATTAAAGCAGTGTGTTCTGCTCAGTGCATTAGCATTTCATTTTCACTGCCTTAAAATAGGTATGCAGAAAAATGTTTCTAAATACACTTTGTCTTTCCAGTAGGTTTGCAATCTATTTGCAGTCTATTTTCAAATACACGCTCCTTATTCTAGAATGAAAAGCCAGTGTTGAATCACACTCATTTCAGCAGCCTTTTCAGTTTGTATATGAGGATTTATCATCTTTAATTTAGCAAGTTTACAGAACACAGCCAACTGCTTTTCTCTGCTTCCAAATAAAGTATGGAAAGTACAGTCTGTGGCAAGGGAAGCAGAAGATGAAAAGGCCCATCTGGGTATCTTTTTTATGTTGCAGCTGTTAAAAACTGAAACCCATTCTCTGACAGAAAAATAGAATTCGGTAGTTAATATGAAAAGGCATGTTCATATGTTATTTCCCTACTGTATAGACATGTATGGCTCTTTCAAAAAAAATAAAATAAAATAAAATAAATAAATTCCTGCTTTAGATAAAGACAATTACAAGAAGAACACGATGAAGAGCTGACAGAATAGGAAGCTGGAATATTATACAGTCTTGTGTAAATTTCTTACTCTCTTACTTTTCTACTGAGGTGAAATCACGAAAAACATGCAAAGTTGTCTGCAGGTTAAGCATAAGCAGCTGAATTACTGTAGGTGAGGTTGCTGTCCATATTCATGGGGGCTACCATGGAAGGACTGCCACACAAAAAAAACCCTCAGTGACACTGCCTGGCATCATCGCAGGAGGAACCTGGTTAATAATAGAAACGAAGTTATGCTGGAGGACTTTGAAGACTAACTAGAGGCTTGTGTTTTACTGAAATAAATCAAGGCACCACCTGTAAAAGTAAAATCTTTCACAGTTTTTAGTACTATAGAATGGCCTATAGGACTATATAGACTGAATGCTTTTTGGACTATACAGAATGAATACTTGGATATTTCCAACAGCTGATATGCTCCAGGTGTTGGATCAACAATATAAATGATATAAAAATCTGTGTGTTAACTTCGTAGGAGGAAATCTACGACCACTTAAGTCAAGGATTTAGGGGATGCTTCAATGGCCCTTGTAAATTGCTCACCAAAGTTAGTGTTTCCAAGAAAAGGGTTTCCAAAGAGAAATCTCAAATTAAGGAAGAAGTCGGTATTTCACATAAATGGCAAATTTTCACTCGTGAAAGAAGAAATGTCAACTAAACATAAGGAATTGAGTATATAAAGTAGATTTAACACCTCACTACAATTTACAGAGATTTTAGGTGAGAAAGGAACACTTTTCAATAAAAGCAAAAGAAATAAATACATCGTTAGATATCTAATCTAATTCCACAATCTAAAGAACTTTCAACTGCGTCATATGTCTCGTTTAAAATTAAATGCAGTGATCATCCTGTTCAGGGCAATTCTACTTCATACAGGTATGCAGTCCCTGCAGAGAAGAGGGAAAGTTAAGTACATGTTTTAAGACTTCTCTGCAGAGACAGGGAGATAGCATGCGTCAATATTTACTGTTCTCATTAAGTCACTACAAAATGTTTGTTTTCATCTCTGGAAGTAATTTGCACAGTGGAGTTGTGCTGATAAAGGATTGATGCTTGAGAGGTGGCAAGCACCTGCTTCTGTGCTGAGCAGAACATACACATGCCTTGGGCTCACCAGGTCTAGCCAAGAGCAATTAGCTCAACTAAACTTTTTTAAGCTGAAAGATATTGTAACTGGAGGTTTGGGTAGAGGGGAAGGAGGAAGGACACAGATCGTGTCTGGGACATCCTAACACGTTTTCTATCATTATAAAATCCTAGCACTAATCAGATGTTTCAAGCAAGGTATCTGCTAGCCAGTCACCTGCCAGAGAGATTTTCCCACCCCTCAGTCATTCAGGAAAACAACATTTTCATTTCATTTTCAACACCCATCACAGATGTTCCTCTGCTGGTCTAGGGCTAGGAAGCTTCATCTGGAGCCGCTGTTGACTCATGCAGCAGGTGGGGAGCAGCGGGCAGCGATGCGAAGCACCCCTCACTGAATCGTGCTGCAATCTCTGTCTGGGGAAGGTGCTGGGCAGATGTCAGATCCAGCACGTCGGAGAGGAAATAACACAAAGCACATGTGCTCAAGAGCAAGAAGCAGCTTGGAAAATAGCAACAGCGAAAGAGACAGAATGTGACTTGGCACAGGAGGACGAGTGCTGCTGCTCTGCCACGCACCTCTCGCAGGCACACACTGCGCTGCGTGCCCTGCAGGACAAGCACTCTGCATCTGCACACCACAAAATGCTGAAAAGGATTTCAAAACGTTTGGTGGCTACCACAGAGGAAATGCAAATGCTCATCTTGAGAAGATGCTGAGAATGGATAAGTTACTCTTACTGGTATTAACCAGATTTTTAAAATGGGAAGTGTTTATCCCTTGATTTTCCAGACCTTAAACTTTTCTGCAAGACGTGCAGATGTGTATTCATCCCCCAGATTCTGTACCCAGACAGTCCTGGAAGGAGGATGAGAGGACTTCATCTCTCAGTGGTTCTCTGCTGCTGGGGCTGTAGGTGCAGGGTAGGTGCTGCAGGAGATGCCATAACCAACTAGCATGTGCCAAAAACGATGCCAGAAAGAGCCCTGTGCATACTCTCATTCCTCCTTGGATATCTCAGTATCTCTGATTTCCAGACTGAGCAAGAGCTGTGCCTGTGTGTGGCTGCTCATGCTGTCCTCTGCCTGCCCCTAGCCCACCCTCGCTTTGGTCTGATCTACCCCAGTGCTGGCAGACAGCTTTCTTCACCTCTTGCTGCATGTGAATTTTGACCACAGTAGTTAATCTGTCCCACTCTTTCCCTAGGAAGAAAAACTAGGAAAGATCCGGTCTCCGTGGAGGAAATTCTTACCTGTTAATTCTACAAAGCTCTGTGTACCTCACTGTACTAGAAATGGGCTTTCACACAGCTGAGAAATGTGTTCCGTGCCCCTTTTGTCCTTGCTGTTCTTGAACGCACATAGCCCTGTTTATAATTCCTCCCACAGTCATCATTCCTATATTCTGGCAAAGCCCATCAGCGTTCACAATGCAGAATAATAACTACTGGCAATTACCCTGCCAATGCAAGCCATGAAGAAATGCGCAGTGCACAATATGCTGCTACCTATAATGGTTTTATTCCATGGTACCTGGGGGCACCAGCCCCTAGGAAAGGACATCTGGCTCCTGTTTGTGAGAACAGCGGTTTGTGGGTTATGGTTTGTATGCGCCCGTGGAATTTCTGAAGGAAGCAATTCAGAACTTAAGCACATTTCATCATTTTCATTTATGGCAGGGGAAATATGCATAGTTATACATGCCCGAAGAGATCAGGAGGATTATTTTTAAACTGAAACCTTTGATGTTTTTACAGCATTTACACAATTCCTCTTAAACCAATGTTTTCCTTTTTAAAATTAGCATCAGTGTTTGTTTCCTGTGTGAAACCTGGTTTGTGTCTGACCAATTAAAGTGAAGATAAATGTGACAGGAAACTGTTTTGAATACAGTACCTCAGCTGCAAAATATAACTTTTCTGAGTAATTGAAATGAAAGTCAGTATCAGTAAAAATAAATCACACAATTCAGTTGTGGCTGGAAAATTACTACTGAGACTGGCAACTTGATACAACTATTTCTATTACTTTCTATTGAATTAGGTAAGGCAATAAATACTTAATAAGAATAGTAGAGCAAGGTTTATTTTATTCCACATTGTGCATATCAAACAATACTGCTAGCAAAAGATTGCCTTTAGGGCAGGAAAATGTTTCATTCTCCATGCCTGTTCGGTCGAGAGCCTTTCTGCTGGTTCTGCCAACAAGGATGCCAATTAGTGTCAAGTAACATTTTGGTACTGCTGATGCAATGCACAACAAAGGGAACATAGTATGGGGAAATGGACTTGCTGTACTAAGAGATCAAAAATACCACTTTTATTCTGGTAATTGGACCTAGAATTCAGTGAGAGAGAGAGCAAGAGAACTCTACTCCTGCCATTTTATGGCTTACATCCCCAGTGTGGTACTGGAAAGTCTCATTTCAAGGTCGCCTGTTAGAGGAAGGTGACATTGTATAAACCTTCAAAATGCACAGATCATAGCCAGATGCTCAGGTGAATCCCTCACCAGCTGTGTTAATTCAGCTTGCTCTGTCCCCAGTACTCCTAATGCCACCTAGACAAATTGCTTCTGTGCAATCCAGAGGAGAACGAAATCTGTTCAGAAGCGTGCACGAAGCATGTTCACTGGCAGAGATAAATGTCAGGGACATTATTCAGTTTTATTGTACTTCCAGCTTCCCCAGTGGGTCCCACTGATCTGCCTCTGCCCGTATAAAAGCAGAGTGAGGAAGATGATGGTACCTCAGAGAGAAGGCCACTTCACTCAGCAGTCAGTTCTCAGAATCCCTTTTTGTGGTCACTTCATGAGTTTCAGATCTAACAGAGTGTTTTGCATGTGATGCTGACATCCAAAGAGGATGGGCAGGGGATAAAACTGGCCAGAGCAATCCCAAATTTTAAGCAGTGACAGCATTGCTCAGGAACACTTCCAGAAACCCTGCTTGACAGGGGCAAAACAACTTCCCTGACAATGGCACTGCTGATCATTTGCCATAGTTAATGAGAACAATGTTTGATCTGCAATGATCAAACCTGACTTTCTTAGCTTTGCAAAGATTTCAATAGAAAAGTAAATCCAGCTTCACACCATGTATTAAGTCGTGACTATCTTCTCTGCAAAAATGCCAACATCAGCATTATCCTGTCTTTTTTTTTTTTTTTTTAAAGGGAAGTTTACCGTGTGTATAGTACACAGAAGATGCTCAGGTAAAAATAGGAATTAGATCACTGCTGCTATAAAGAGGAGTGGAATATCTTCCCTTCGTCAAGCCCCAAGCAGTTGGCACCCTATAAATCATAGGAAGCACAGGGGTAATTATAGAACTGGAAGCTGATTACTGTAAACATTCAGAAGTAGCTCCTAGTGAGTGGAAACTAAACATAATGCGAGCATGATCACAACCATGAAGGAACCATGCAGGTCGCTATGCCCCCAGTTTTTTCTCTATTCCTAAAGACTGGGTTATCTCACAAAGCAACAAGCAAGAGAGTCAATCTAGCACCTTGTAGATTAACAGCCTGTTAATACTGTGAATTTTGTTCTCTGTCAGAATTAGTGTTGATTTGACAACACTCTGATCACAAGGATCTGATTACTTTCCTGCTTGCATTGAGCAACACTGCCAGCAGCTTCTGCCAGTAGGTTCTGCCACCCTCAAGCAGCTCATTTGTCACGCTCACAGGCGCTGCTGGTGCCTTTGTGGTGGAAAACGCCCAGCCAAAGAAGTTCAACCTGCACTGAGAATAGATGATGTCAGCACATGAATTTTTATGTTTTAATGTGGGTTTTAATGCAGGGGTGTTCATTTTGGCACTCTTGGGGCCACAGAGAGAAAAAACTGTCTCCTCCACCCTTAATACAGGGATCTTAGTGAAGGTGCAGCCACAGAGAGCTGGGCCATGACAAAGTGTCAGATTCCTGCCTCAGAGGAGTCACACCTCCAGGAGCAACACCACAACACTTGAGCTGAAAGCGATACCCTCCTTCTTACCCAAACATACCAGAGTGATTATGCAACAGGACCAGGAGGGAAGCTTGTTTTCTGACATCAGATTGTGCTCTGCTCCTGTCCTCAAATACAGTATCTTCTTGAGATACGAGTAGGAAGATACACAGAAGGTGCCATTTTTCCTCAGAGAATGTAGCTTATTTGTGCTTCTAAGCCCTATCTGATCCTTACAAAGCTATTTACCTCAATTATAATTACTGCTGATAACAAGTTCTACAAGTTAATTACCCCAAACATAAGAACATTGTTTTTCATCCATATCCTTACATAGTCATTATAGAATCCCAAATTCTAGTTTTTGTCTCTATGTGAGGCAGAATTTTCAGAACTCAGACAAGTTTTGAAAAAGCCACCCTTTTGTTAAACAGCTCCTACCTAAAGTTATTAAGAACTTGGACATACAATGCCTAGAAAGACAACATAACTTTACCTGAAGAAAGCATCACAAAAAGCATATCTGTTGCTACCTGGCAGTAAGTGTCTCACCGTGCTGTATAATCCCATGCTCCAAAAGTCTGCGGCCAAGCTGCTCGGCTTCAGTCCTTGTCGTGGCCTCTCCTTCCTGGATGAGCCAGTCAATGAACTCCGATGCCACAAAGGTCCGCTCGTACTTGACTCCTTCCTCTTCCCTGGCTTGCAGGAGAGTGTTTTCGGAACTCATCAACCTGGTAGGGAAGGGAAAAAAATGATACGGAAAATGATGCTTCAAAAAAACAACTCCACATCTATTCTGGCAAGTCTCACTGATACCAAGCAAACAGCTGTGAACCTAACTTATTAAATCTTCTCTCAAGCTATCAATCTAAACTTACTATGAGAATTATAGCAGCTCAGTCAATAAATGTAGGCTTTATATACCTGTATGAAGTTAAAGCTTTCTCCTGTTCCCTAAAAGAAAACAAGGTTTTTCAGCTTTGCATTTCCCATATTTAGTTCTTTAGCTTCCCTAAAAGTTAATGTATAATTGACCTCAAAATAAAATCAGCCTAAAAGCGCCAGGTTATAGTTAGTGTGTTCAAAAATTCCTAATTAATTTTTACAGTCAGCAGGACTATGCCCCCAAGTCATTTAGATGGTTTTGAAAATTCTCCCTGTAAGCTTTAAAACAGCTGCAGAAAAATTCAAGGGGAAGGAAAAAAAGGCAGTTCTGTGGTCTGGATGGTGGGTAAATATTTGGCTCCCACCACTCCGCGATGCAGCTGCAGCCAGTGAAATCGTACACCTGGACACATTTTGACATTGGAGATCATCTCCATCTCAGTTTGCCCTGACACAAGAGTTAGGAACATTCGGAGGTGTCTCCAGATCTCTGCGCAATTGGCACATGTGCAACTTAAAAACACTAGGAAAATTCTTCTCCATTCAAGGAGCCTAAACAAATGATGCAATATAAAAACAAAAGGAAACAAAAAAAGCCTCAGTGTTTTGTTAATGCAAGAATGACGTTGACATTTTGGAGGAGAAGAAATGAGAACCACTCTTTTTTAATACAGAACCGCACTTTTTTGTTGGCAGATTGAGAAACACAGCCTCTTTATTCATTAATTTAATTATTATTCATAATTATTTACTATAGGCTAAAGGTAAGACTTTCAGAATAACAGTTGAAGAATGGCTTGTTTGAGTTTTTTCCCTTTAAGACTGTAAGTCTCCTCCCTCAGCAGCTATTGGGAAATTAAAGGCACAACTGGACCACAACATAAAAATTCCAAAAGCTCTGAATCTTTGCCCTTCTTATCAGAAAATTGAATTTCAAATAAACTCATACAAAGGTGATCTCTTTCTTAAACTGCCAGTATGTCCAGAATTGATGGAAATCATGGAAAGTGCAATAAATATATAACATCACCTCCTTTGGGGGCTTCTGAATTCTGAAGTCGGGCATCAGCAATAGAGAGCACAGAAGTTTCATTTGAAATTCCAGTGAAGAGGTTTGACGGGACCTGCCCCTTGTTATTTCACTTGAAGGATTTATTCCAGTGACTTTAATGAGAGCTAACCAGAAGCCAGGGCTGACTGGATCTGACCCCAGGCAGCAGATCATCAAACCAGTCAAAGGCTGCTCTGCCACAGCTGCAGCTGAGTGGCAGCTATAACGAACTGCTCCTGTCCATGTTGGTCGTTACCAACACTTCTGAGCTGAGTAAGGATGAAGAAAGTCAAAATTAGTTGAATTCAGGGATGGGGCCAAAAGCAGGAACGTGTATCATGGGGGACAAGATACCGGCTCCAGAACTCTTGCAAAGGTTTTATGCTTTTTCATATTTTGATTTGCCTACATGTGCATGCAGGTTTAGCTCTCTGTCCCACATTAACCACATCTGATTTGGAGAGAGCTCCAAGAGACCACCTTTATATGTCTCTCGTTCACCAAGCTTTTTCCCCTTAAGAAATAAAAAGCAAACCCAGAACTCGTGTCTTTTATACCATCTGCTGCATGGTTACCCAGAACTGGTTACCCAGGCTCTGCGGGCACCAAATAAAAAATCCCGAGGATTGTGTTAATTGTTCTTTGATGAGCTTGTAATTAGTTGACCAGCTCACTGAAGCACCAGATAGAGAGGTCCTTGAAAAAGTGATGCTAATCATTACATTTCTACAGCCACAAAAGAAATCTGGAAAAATATCAAGTGGAAAAACACTCAGCTTGACATTTCACACCCTTCTGCATGTGCCCAGAATAGCACTGCAAAGGATTTGGACTTGTGAACAAACAGACACAGCAAATTGACAGTTTTACAAACCCAGCAACAGCAATCCACTGCTAACTGAAGTAAATCACTGTAACACCGCTGCTGTCAACAAAAGTGTACCAATTTCCACCAGCCAAAACCTGGCCTGTCATTAGCCAAAATTGGAAACTGCCTCTCGCTCTTCCATTTTCTGTGTGTTTCAAAAAACACGAGACCATTAACGTCAAAACCTGTTATTTGCTACAACTTGTGTTATCCCACATCAAAGGAATGTATTTAGCCAAACACAGAACATGTCAGAATTATTTTTTTTTTACTTTGTTTTATCTAAATAACTGCACCAAAGGATTAATTGAAATTAACCAC